CCCCCTCTTGCCTACGTTGACAGATTTCGTCCTTCTACGGTGTCATCACCATCAGACTACAAACATGTTGTTATTTATTTCTCATCTTGATCTCACTTCTCCTTCCCGCCGCTGTCCCATTTCTGTCTTTATAAATTTCCTTGGAAGGGTTGTCATATGTCACCAACTCCTCTTATTGTCCTCTCTCTTAAATCCACTCCTATTCGGCTCTTCCTCTCTCTACTCCACAGAAATTACTAATTGGCATCCTTAATAACTCCATATTACTAACTCAAATGGTCAATCCCTTTTTGGCTCGGCCTCTTCTTCCTCCTAGAAACACCTTATTCACTTCCTCCCAGGACCTCACGAACCTCTAGAATTCCTCTTACCTCTCTGACTGCTTCGTCTGATGCCCCCCTTTTCCTTAGCCTCACTGTGTCCCTCTGTCCTGGGACTCAGACCTTGGCCCTCTTCTCTGTCTATATTCACTCTCTTAATGATCTCATCCAACAACATGCTGACAACCAATAATGTTATATTTCTAACTCAGATTTCCCCCACTGAATCCCAGGCTTATTTATCCAGCTGCTTTCTTGACATCTTTATTTAGATGTCTAATAGCTACCTTATAATTTAATGTGTCCAAAGCAGAGCTCCCAATATCCCCCCCCCAAAACCTGCTCCTTCTGCAGTTCTCCCCATCTCAGTTCATGTACCTCCATCCTTCCAACTGCTCAGGCCAAGAAGTTTGGAGTCACAATGATGCTTCTCTTTCTCTTATATCCCGAATCCAATCTGTTAGCAAATCCCATTGGTTTCAAAGTCAACATATATCTGAGAGCTGACATGACTTCCCATTTGTATTGCTACATCCTGGTCTGAGCCATCATCATCTCTCGCCTAGGTTATGACAGTAGCCTCCTACGTTATCTCCCTGATTCATTCTTTGTCCACCCTCCCCAAGTCTATTCCCAACCCAGTAAAGAATGATCCTTTTAAAACTAAGTCAGTTATTATCTCTTGTAACTCTATAATCGGTCCTCACTTATCTCGGAGGAAAGGCCAACTTTTTGCAGTAGCCAGTAAGACCTTACATAATGGCCTTCCATTACTTACTTAGTATGTTATTACTATCTCCCTCTGCATGAATGGTAGCTCCACATGGCCAGAGGATGTTGGTTGAAGAAACTCCCCACCTTCCAGCTTAAACAACAAGATAGGTGGTATGAGATGTGAGGATGACAAAGTTGAGTTTAAACAGGAAATGCTCAGTTTGCAGTCAGAATAACCATAAGCAACCCCCTCTTCTCTTTGGAAGCTACTTAAGTGAAAATGTAACATGTTGTTTTTATCATTATCATACTTTCCCTCCTGGTTAAATATGAATTCTGCCAGCTTAAGGATGACTATTTGTTAGAAAGCAGTTAATGTATAAGCAGTGATCTAGTCAAGTGGATCAGATGACAAGATCTGTCTGAAAAAGAATTTTTTCATATTATCCAAATAATATTTAATCACTGTCAAATTATCATAGGAAGTTAAGAAATGTATCTCCGGGTGGCACCTGTGGCTCAGTGGGTAGGGCGCCAGCCCCATATATTGAGGGTGGCAGGTTCAAAACCAGCCCTGGTCAAACTGCAACAAAAAAACAGGTGGGCATTGTGGTGGGCGCCTGTAGTCTCAGCTACTCAGGAGGCTGAGGCAAAAGAATCACCTAAGTCCAGGAGTTGGAGGTTGCTATGAGCTGTGTGACGCCATGGCACTCTACCAAGGGCAATAAAGTGTGACTCTGTCTACAAAAAAAAAAGAAAAAAGAAAAAGAAATGTATCTCCAACAAGTAGTAAACCATCTAAATTATTGGTATTATATACATGTGGTAATAACAAATTATTTAATTTATATTAATTTGGTAAGTTATCCATTTTTATTTTAGTAATTTACAAATGTTTTATTCAGAGTAGCACCTGTGGCTCAAAGGAGTAGGGTGCCAGCCCCATATACTGGAGGGGGTGGGTTCAAACCCAACCCAGGCCAAAAACAAAACAAACAAACAAACAAAAAACAAAAAAACTGCAAAAAAAAACCCCAACAACAACAAATGTCTTACTCAAAGAAGAACCTTCTAATTATTCTGACCAAAGAGCTAGCCTTCTTTCAGCAACATTTGTCCTGTAATGGCACTGTGGCTGCCACCGCTGCCTGCCCTCTGCCCTGGCCCTTGGGGTGACATCACTAGACAGTGGAACATAAAGAACTTGTCAGGTTCCCTGCCAGTCACCAGGCAGTTCCAGGGAGAGGCTGTGGCCAAGTCTGAGGACCCCTACGGTGGGCCTAGAACCCACTGGCTGTTGCTGAGATGAGAGGATTCCATGTAAGCTTTTGGATGGAAGTGGGAAGAAGAAAATTAGCTCTCTTCTGCTAGCATTTGTGCCAGAGAAGCAAAGGAGAGTGGAAATCTGTAGAGAAAAAAATCCACTGACCTCTAGGAAAAGAGAAACTGGTTTCATGGACAGAGAGGTCAGTCTCATAGGCAGGTCTTTTCATCTGTAAAGAAGTAGCTGAGGTGTGGTTGGAGTCAAAAGATTTGGAGTCTTAGTGACTGAGAGCTACTCTTGGCCTTACAAAGCCTCAGTTTACTCCTCTGTAAGATGGGAGAATGATACTGATTCTGCAGATTGGTGGGAGATGCACTGAGGTGGCATGTAAGGACGTTTTGTAAACTTCAAGTGCCTCATAACTACCATCGGTCACTTGTTAGGTGTCAGAGCCTCCTGGTTAGAGCACAGTGCGGTTTGATACTCTGTGGGAATAAAGCAGCTTCAGGAAGCCTTTCCTGAAACAGTTCCCTCCTTCTCTCTAGCCCCTCTCCCTAATTTCCAACCCCTCACTGTGCTTTTTGTTCTTAGAAGGCATCATGTCCCCCAAATATACTTGTTTGTTATTCTCTGCTTCTCTTGCCAGACTGCCAGTTCCATCGGGCAGACCCTGCCGTTCTTGCTCAGAGGAAGGCTGATATGTAGTAAGTGCTCCGTAAATAGTTGTTCAATAAATAATAGCTGAGTGATGAATAAATAATCTGATCTTTCCAGAGGGTGGGACAGCAGTGTTTCTGATGCAGGGTCCTGTACCAGAGCGGAGGTCCGACTTAGCAGATCTGGTCAAACCTACTGAATTTGCTATTTTTATTTATTTTATTTTTTAACTTCTTTTCAGACAGAGTCTCATTTTGTCACCTTCAGCAGAGTGCCATGGCATTAAACTTAATGCCAAGTTGCATCACAGCAACTTAAAACTCTTGGGCTCAAGCAATTCTTTTGTCTCAGCTATAGGCGCCCACCACAACATCTAGCTATTTTTATTTTATTTTTTATTATTTTGGAGACAGAGTCTCATGCTGTCGCCCTTGTGCCATGTGCCATGGCATCATAGCTCACAGCAACCTCCAACTCAGGCTCAAACAATCTTCTTGTCTCAGTTTTTCTTTCTTTTTTTTTTTTTTT